AGGTCGGAGTATCGCAGAAATCCCGAGTACATGAGGATAGGGATCAGCCCTTTCTGGAATTCCGCCGGATTGTCAGACAGCAGGTAGCTCGCCGCCATGTCTCGAACTTGTTGGATCGATACGGGCTCCTTCAGACGAGTAGGGCGAGGGCAATGGCGTTTCGCAAAGTCGCGGACTTGTGTGGTGAATGGCCCATCCGTCGGGCATGTGCTCCCAGTCATGCGATGGGCGAAGCTGACTGCTGAGCACGTGAGCTGTACTACGGACAGGGTAGCTTTACGTTGGATTGCGTGGACCAGGTATAGCGCGAGGGTCATGTCGGATGCGGGGAGAAATGCAAGGTTCACCTTTGTACAAAAGGCTCGAAACTTAGTCCAGTATGGTTCGTATGTCCGGATCGTCGAGTTTGCACGAGACTGTGCGATCATGTTAATCAGTTGGTCGTGTAGCTTTGGGAGCAATTCTGAACACAAGGCGGAGAAGTTATGAATTAGTCAAATACCACTCGGAGTGCTATGATTGGGCTGTGCGGTAATCCTGAGCCTGAGAAGGCAGTGGAATGTGTCCCTGCAGCTAAGCATTGGCTTCCGTGTGTCAGAGGGATGTGTGCATGGATGTGTGACGCCCACGTGCATGGGGAGGGTTGTAGTAGTGGCCACCAGCTTGTGCCCGGCCAGTGCGGAACTATCAGTGTGAGTGATGCGTGGGTGCGTTGTGCGTGGTGGAGGACGGCGGGGACCAATTGGGGCGGGGGGAACGCGAAACCATTTTCGCCTGTCCATGCGAGCGAAAATGCATCAATTGCGAAGGCGTCTGGGTGAGGGATCTTTGTGCAGAAGCGCGATAGCTGGGTGTTGCGGGAGTTTGCAAAAAGGTCGATGGAATGGGGACCCCAACGACGTTCCAAGATACGGAACCATGGCGTCTTCAACGAGTAGTCGTCGTGATCGACTATTTTGGAAAGCTCGTCGGCGTGTGAGTTGAGTTCGCGGGGAATCCATTCGATGATTAAGCGCGTGCCGAGCTCCATGCATGTTCGTATGATGCCCTTGCAGGCCATGGTGAGGTCGGTGCTGCGAGAGCCGCCTTTGCGAAGGATGAAGAATACACCTTGGTTGTCCACCCGCACGAGAACGTGTTTTTTCTGGATCTTGTTGGCATACGTTTGGATTGCCCAAAAGACGCCTTCAATCTCCCGTCTCGTGCTGGACGTTGCTCGTAGCGGCTCTGGCATGGTTGCACTAGCTTCTTCGAGGCCGCCCGGAAACGTGGTCAGGGTGGCGCCCCAACCGTGAAAGCTGGCGTCCACATGGATTACAGCGTCGTAACTGTTTCGGACGTGGAATGGTGCACCGTTAAACCGATCAAACTCTTTGCGCCAGAAGTTGAGCTCCTCAGCTACAGATGGGGAGACGATCACACTGCTTTTCCATGACGGCGCGTCGTTGATCACTTGTAACATGGCGTGGCTGAATGCGCGAGCTGTCGCGCCTAGTGCGACACTCATTGAGGCGAGCATGCCTGTGACTCTGGCCACATGACGGACGGGGACTGGTGTGCTTGCCTTGCTTGCACTTAGGAGGTTCTGGATGGTTGCATGTAGCGCGACTCGTCGGTCGGGACCGATGGAGAATCGGCCGGTGTCGGTGTCCAACTCTACACCCAAAAATCGAAGGTGCTGCGATGGTGAGAGCTGCGATTTCTTCGCGTTTATCACCAGCCCCGCTGCTTTGAGGTCCAATATTACGCGCTGACAGGTAGCTTGCGCATGGGCCTTTGACTGGCAGAGAAATAGAATGTCATCCACGTATGGCACTACTCGGATGCCCTGTTCTCGCCAACGCCGAGCAAGTTGCTTGATGAGTTGCGTGAAGACGAATGGAGCTGTGGCGAGTCCGAATGGCAGGGATCGAAATGCGTATAAGTGTCCACCAAATTCGAATCCAAGGAACTTCCAGCACGAGGGGTGGATGTCGATGTGGTGATAGCCGGATTTGAGGTCGATGGAGAACATCCAGTCCCCAGCGCGTGCCAGGTCGGCCACCCGGTTAAGTCCCTCGTACTTGAACTTGGGGACAATTAAGTGGGCGTTGACTTTCCTCAGATCAAGAATGAGCCTGCATTTGTCTTTTTGCTCGACCACGTTGAGCGGACTTATGCAAGTAAGCTCCTTTGCGGCCATCGGAACTGCCGCTCCGGTCTCTGTGAGTTCTTGTACGGCAGTACGTGTGAATGTGGCATGCGTGTTCGCCCCGACATGGTTGCGATCGTGGAAGGGTTGCGGTGGGCCGTGGCTCCATGGCAACCAATAGCCTTTGGCTATGACGGAGAGGACAAGGCTACTCGAGCACCATGAGCTCCACCATGCAAAGGTCGCGCGAAGCCGGCCGCGCATATGTGTAACGGTTTTGTCCGTTATGGCAAATTCGTATGGGTCGTCGCCGCATGCCGCCTCGTATTGCCACGCTCCTGTGTGTTCGTGGCATGGGACAAGGGTTGCACTTTTTATTTAAAAATACGTGTGTTGCATGTGTGCACGTGCTTGAGATCACTTGTAAACGGTGTGGACAGAATTGATAATGAATTGCTATGTCAACGAGTGTGCCGAGCACCGACCGGCTCGCCCCACGGTCCACACACGATTGGATGCGGCTGTCCATGCCCTCTCTCTCTCTCTCTCTCTCTCTCTCTCTCTCTCTCTCTCTCTCTCTCTCTCTCTCTCTTTCTTTCTCACTGATTCTCTTTCTCTCTTGCTCTGCACCACTTCTTTGTTTCTTAGATTGTCACTTGCCAAAATCAGAGGGCCTTTAGGAATAATGTTTTATTAAATCGACCCGACACACATAGCAATGCTTTCCTAGCATGCATACGCCACCTAGTGGCCAATACATGGGACCGAGGGGTTGTTGTTCCCCTTCCCTAACCTAGGCCCAAGGCCTACTCTACCCTTGTCTAGGGCTGGCCTCTTGCCATCGCAAACCCCTAGGGCTGCCCACGGTTTCCGCACTCTAGAGTGCACCGTGCCTTGCGCTCCGAGCGCATTTCCCATGGTCCGCTCCTACACTACCGGAGCGGGACCTTGGCCACCATGCCCGTTCCTAGGGCAGGCACTTGCCACATGGCCCGGCTGGCCGCAGCGGAAGCACGAGCCCCGAAACCCACGACAATTGGCCGTGGGTGGGGGACCCCGCTTGGGAATGAACGGCATCGGCGCGTTGCTTCCGCCGCGGTTGACGCGAGCGTATGCGCTTGCGGCGCGGTCCATCGCAGCCATGTCCGCGACCGCCTGCTTGAAGGGTCGAGAGGTCAGCAGGCTCTTCTGCTGGTACAGCTTGAAGCGCTTCGCCGTGCGGAAGTCGGAGGCGTCCTCCACTTGAAGCACCTCGAAACGCCCCGCGATGAGGTTGAGGGCGTGTGAGATGAGTTCGAGTCCGCCTGCCGAGTCACCGCGCTGCGCCTTGTATTCCGCGTGCAGCAGGTACGCGCGCAAGTCCTCCAGCAGCTCCGCTTGCTCTCGCACGGAGTCGTTGACGAATGTCGTCGCCGAAAAAGTGAGGTTAGAAGAAGGGAGGGGGGGGAGATTTTCCGTGCCAATAAAATTAGTATTGTCGACTGGAGCCTCACCGGCGTCATCTTCGGAGTCGTCGGTGTCGTTGTCGACCGCTGGAGCAGGGGGAACGCCGGTCGCTGCGTCGTTGTTGCGCCGATTCGTCCTTGCTTCTCGCACTCCTTTTTCCTTTTTTGCAGTTTCGTTTTTAGCAGACGCAGATGCAGCAGGTAGTGCAGTTTCCGCGGCTGTAACGCTGACGGGCTGCTGCTGTAGAAGGGACAGCAGCGCGTTGACCTGGTCCGGGGTCAACGCCTGCGTCAGCGTAGGGGTCGCCGTCGCGTCAGACGAGGAGACCGCCGGTCGTCGCCTCTGGCGCTGACGCGACGGTCCAGCCGCGGGTGCTGGCGTGTGCCCCGCGTCAGTCGCGTGTGTCGCGCCAGCCGCCGCTGCCACTGGTGCCACAGGCGCCACTGGCGCCACATTCGCCGAAGGGTGCTGGGCATCGAGCCCGCCCAGCAGCACGTCCACTCCAGTCGGGGCGGAAGGTCCATCTTCTGCCCGACGCTTGTTACGTCGATCGCCCGCAAAATCGCGGGCGTTACGGTCGGAGTCGGAAGCGGGGTTGGCCGAGTTGTCGTTGTTAAGTGCCGGCGTAGGTGCCATCGTTGAGCGATTGAAGTTAAAAATATCGCTGAGTAAAGTCGAGGGTGAAACGCCTCGAGGAAGCGTTTTGGTTCTAGCCAGTTTGGACGGAGGAAAAAACTACTCGAGCGGGAAAGTTGAGTGAGCCGTTGGAAATAGAGAAACGTGGGTGGAGGGAAATGAGCTCCAACCCACGGTTTTTGTAGTTGGAGAAGGGCGTTTAGCGCGCTTCGACGATGCCAAATGTGCAGTACAAGCAGCTTCGCTTTCACAATACACAATTTTAAAAACACAATGTGTGTTTAAAATTTATAATGTTATGAGCTGTACTAAGAAGAGTGCGCGGAAGACTTTATAAAAAGGATGAAACTACAGAATGTCGAGAATGATAATGAAGCGAGCATTTATAGGGTCGAAACTGTGCTAGGCGAGGACCTCGGGACGTAGATGGTTTGGAAGTGTCGCGATTGGTGCGGGGCGACTCGGAAGTGGTTCGGTACGAAAGTGTAGGCCGAGCCACGCTGACGCGAACTGCTCGGGGCTGTCCTCGCGAAGGACAGTTCTACAGTAATGAATTGCACATTCATTACAAGTCGTGTACGCGATAAGGAGGGGCGCGCGTGAAGTACAGGAAAATGATTTTTCCTTGGAATCCATACTCCAAATTCCACGTGACTAAAATGTGCACCTAGCGATGACGCGATAAGAATTTCACGTACTTGGGAAAAGTCGCTCTCCCTCTGGAGCCGAGTTTCATTCGAAAACGCCATGCAAATCTTTGCGGCCATATTCAAAGTTACTCAGAGCGATGGCGTCCGTTGCTCTTCCTGATGCCGCGCATCCCGATCGTTCCTCTCCCTCCCACTGCCTCCCTGATGCCTCGCCCCCGCATGTTGCCGCCACTCCCGCTGCTCCCGCTGACTCCGCCACCCCAACGGCGTCGTCAAGGCGTTCCGACCCTTCCGCCACTTGCGCGCGCCTTTCCCGCAAGGAGCGGCGGCGCACTGCGAAGAAGGCGCGCAGACAGCAGCAACGGCGGGAACGCGCGATTGCCGCGGCGGAAAGCCTTGCGCGGGAGGAGGAGGAGCGGGAGAGACGGGCGGAAGCGAGCAGCGCAGAGCGATGGGCGCGGATAGAGGAGGAGAGGCGGCGGAGAGAGGCGGAAGACGAGGAGCGGAGGGCGCGGGAGGAGGGCGAGCGACGATGGCTGGCGCGAGAGAGGGAGATCGAGGAGGAGAAGAAACGGGTGGAGGAGAGGCGCAGGTGGACAGAGGTGAGCCAGGGTTGCAGCAAGGGGAGCGACGTGCTACGTAGGGAGGGCGGAGGGCGCGCGGAGGAGGGTAGGCAGGCACGGGAGCCCAAGGCGGATGAAAGTGGGGGGCTCTGCGAGGGAGGCAAGTAGGCGGATTGCTCTTGTGCTCTGGCGTCAGCTGTGCTGATTAACTCGTATCAGCTTGCTCCCTCTCCTTCCTGCCGTCCCCCCCGCCACGCCCTTTCGTGCAGCTGCCACTCAATCTCTTTCCACTCCCTCCCTCCCTCCCTCCCTCCCTCCCTCCCTCCCTCCCTCCCTCCCTCCCTCCCTCCCTCCCCCCCTCCCTCCCTCCCTCCCCCCCTCCCTCCCTCCCTCCCTCCCTCCCTCCCTCCCTCCACCTCCACTCCCCCATCTCCCCGCTCCATTCTTTTCCTTCTTCCGTCAAACCAGGAAGCAGCAGCTGCTGCAGCGGCAGCAGTTGCAGGCGCAGTGGCAGCAGGGCGGGAGGACAAACGCGCATGCTCGCAGCAGACGAAAGAGGAGGATGAGAAGACAGAGGAAGAGGAAGAAGAGCAGGAGGAGGAGGAGGTGGAGGTGGAGGTGGGGGGCGTGCCGGACATAGTGTGGGAGGGGGACGACATCATCGTGCGCAAGAGGCGCGTCAACATGCGCCGCCGCAAGGGCCAGTGCCTGCCTGGAGAGGTGCCCGGCACTGCTGTGCCTGTGCCTGTGCGCGTGCGCGTGCGCGTGGCAGCAGCAGTGCCGGCAGGGGCAGCGGGTGCAGATGGTGGCAGTGGCACAGAGGGGGGTTGGCGTGTGACGCGCACAGCAGGGGATGCTGGCACGGAATGGCCACTCGCTTGCTACTGGATGCTTGCCTGGGTTGACATGCAGAGAGGGAGAGGGAGGGTGTTGGGAAAGTAAGACACAGGGCACCTGTCTTGTCATGGTTTGGGCGAGAATCGAGATGATAGGGGTGTGATGTGAAGGCGAGCAAGAGAAGGTGGATGTGTGGTGCAGTGGGGTGCGGGAGCTGCTCGTCCGTGTGTTTGTCCACACGTGCTCCCGTTTCTACATTCTACCTCCTCGTCCACCCATCCCCTGTCACCCCCTGTGTCCTCTCCTTCATCATCTCCCAACCCCCATTTTCCCCCCTGGCTCGCTGTCCCCCTTCCTCTCTCGAATGGTCCTTTCATTGGTATAGAACGTGACATGTAGAGCCAAGAGCAAGTAGAGCCAACATGACCTATATCAAACTAACTATCCCCTTCCTCTCTCTGTCTCGTTGCAGCCATCACTGACCGTGCAAGCAGCGGCCTCAGCATCCGCGCTCACCAGCCGCGGAGTCACGTCCTCACACACCACAACCCATGCAGTGCGTGCACACCAGCACACTCAGCAGCACGAGAATGAGAATCAGCAGCAGCAGGGCGCAGGTCCATGTGCGTCTGCTCGTCTCCCACCACCCAAGCACCCACCTCTCTCTGCACCTCGCGCACCTCTACCCCCTTCCCTACTCCCTCCTCTCCTGTCCGCACCACAGCCCCCCGCACATGCGAAAGCTCCTCCCCCATCCGCGCCCCTTCTCCCTGCGCCTTCCTTTGCCCGCTTGCCATCTGCCATCCCCTCTCCTGCCGCTGCTGCTGCTGCTGCTGCTGCTGCACCTGATGCTGCATCGGCCAATATGGTTGCTGCTGCAGCGGCAGCAGCAGCAGCGATGGCGTCAGCCCTTCCTCCTGCCACTGCTTCCACTGCCGCTGCGTGCACTGCACCTGGTGCAGTGTCCGCGCTGCTGCAGCCAGCATCACATGGCACCAGGGAACCTTTCCCACAAGTGCAAGCACTCGTACAGGTGATGCTGGCAGGAGCATCAGCAGTACCAACAACGCCCGTGGCGGGAGCAGCAGCAGCAGGAGAAAGCGGCATGGCAGTACCATGGCGTGGAGGCGCAACTGCATGCGGCATGTCCCAAGCGCCCAGCGACCAGGTTATTCGCTCCTCCCTACTTTGTCTGAATTCCTTCCCCATTCCTATCTCACTCCTCTCGCTAGTCTCTCTTTCCCCTCGCCTGTGCAAGCACCTGTCTTGGTCTGTGCCAGCCCTCCTGTGAAATGCAATGCCATCCTTAACCCGAATGTCCTCCACCACCCAACCTACCACACGACTCGCTGCGGCTCTCTCAACTTGCTGCAGCAGCTTGCATTGCGCGTACCTCCAAACGACACATGACCATCACTGTTTCTCTCCGCGTCATCGGTTTATAGCTCCCTGCTGACCCGAGCCAGCAGAAGCAGCCACTGCAGCAGCAGCGGCGGCAACAGCAGCGGCAGCAGCAGCATGTGCCATGACCAGACCCTTGCTCTTGCTCTTCGTCCCTCTGTTTCGTCATTTCACTGCTGCCATTCTCCTCCCTTGCGATTCCTTTCACTCGTCCTTTCTTCTGCAAATTCTGTTCCGTTTCCCCCTCGTTGCAACAGCTGGTTTCCAGCCTTTCCTTTCCTTCTCCGCTTTTCCTTCTCCTCCTCTCCTCCCCTCTTTCTCGTCTCCCTCCCTTCGTTGCTTCCCCTCCTCTCCTCCACTTTCCTCGCCCTCCTCTCCTCACCACTTTCTCCTTCACTTCCCAATGTCCCAGTTCTTCATGCACCATAGCGCAGGCCACATCCCACACACTCCCACCGCTCTTCACCTATCCATCCTCACAGCAGGCTGACAGCTCCTCATGCGCATGCCATGCGCCCGGGGTGAACTATTACCTGGACCAGGAGTGGGACAGCACGCACCGCATGCACACACGGCCATGCAGCGGGGCACAGGAAAAGGCACAGGAAGGGGAGCAGCAGGAGGTGGGATGGGGGCGGGCAGGGGGCGAGGGCGTTGGGGCGTATGAGCAGTTCTATGTGGACCTGCACACGGAGTTCCAGAAGTATGGCGAGCTCTACAACTTCAAGGCCAGTGCCCTCCAACCTGCCGCACCTGCTCTACCTCTCACCTCTCCCCGTCGCCCTTGATGTGTTGAGTTCTGCTCACGCGTGACTGTGTTGATGCCACCACACCTTCCTCGTTCTCGCCTTACCTACATGCTTCTCCCCTGGCCCTCTCTCTCACGCTCCTCTCTCCCCCCGCACCCCCTCACCCACCCACCCACCACCAATGGACCGCCCGTGCTCCCCCCTGGCAGGTGTGTCGCAACGCAGCGCCCCACCTGCGCGGCAGTGTGTACGTGGACTACATGCACCCCGCCCATGCCGCCAGCGCCCTCGCTGCCATGGCCGGCCGCTTCTACGGCCGCCACCAGGTGCGTGCGCGGTGGGGGTCGGTGGGTGGGTGGGGAATTGGAGTGGCAGGCACGTGTGTGGGTGGGTGTGTGCGTGTGAAGGCACATGAGGTGCGTGGGCGAAGGCGGGTACTGAGCAGCATGGTGGAATACGTGCTGATACACGCTGCTGCGAGGCATGCCGTGTTGCTTGCAGTGCCCTTTTAAGGAGTACTTCCACAATTCGAAGCAAGTACATGCCTTTGGATCGTACCCATGTGCCCATTTGCATGTGTGCATGGTCTCAGTACGTTCGCCTCGTACTCGCGCACATGCGCAATCTCTCCTTCTCCTGCCATCCGCTTCTCTTCCCCCCGCCCCTCACATCCTCCTCCCCCTTCCCTCCCCTCACCGCCAGCTGGCATGTGTGCTGGTACCCATTGACAGGTGGCGCAACGCCATTTGTGGAGAGTACCGCAGGAAGGGCAAGGTGAGGGGGAGAGCGCTGGGAGGAGTTTTAGGAAAGGGAGTGGGGAAGGAAAGTGGGGGAAGTGGAGGTTGAAAAGTGGAGAGAAGGCGGCACACGGGTGGATGAGTGTGGCGTGTTGAATGGAGGAGAGGGAGAGCGACCCGTACACTGCAGTGGTCCTCCACCTAGCCATCATGTCAGATGTCAAGTGAACCCACTGCTGCATCCCATTACCCCACATTCACACCCGCACGCACGTTTGTATGACCCCCACCTGCGTCCCCCCTCCCACACACAGCACCAACCCTGCATGTCCACCTGTCTGTTCCCACACCCCCTCCCAGCCCCATCCGCCCCCAACCACGCCTCTCTTTCCTCCTGCTGCTTCTCCCCGCCCGCCCTCTCACTCACTCCCGTTCAGCGCTGCCCGCGCGGCCCCTCGTGCCCGTTCCTGCACCCCTTCGCCAACCCCCATGGTGACTACGAGTGGGCTGACTTTGACGCTCCGCCGCCCCTGCTGTGGCAGCAGCAGATGCAGGGGCTGTATGGGGGGGGCAGAGGGGCGCGGGATTATGAGAGGGAGATTGAGGCGCGCAGGGAGAGGAGTGAGGGGGGCAGGGAGAGGAGCGAGGGGGGCAGGGAGAGGACGGGGGGGGAGGGGAAGGAGAGGGGAGTAAAGGAAGGGGAAGGGGTCAGAGAAATGGCGGAGGTTGTTGGGAGAGGGGGGCGTGATAGTGGTGGTGAGGTGAGGGCGATTGTTGGAGAACTGGGGACAAGGATAGGGAGGACAGGGGAAGGCGCGAGTAAAGGAGAGGAGCAGAAGGGGAGGGGCGGAGTAGAGTGGATAAAGGGAGGCGTGCAGTGGAGGGGCGAGAGAGGGGCAGCTGGGGGTGGGAGGAACGTGATAGCAGGAGCAGTGAGAGTAGGAGCGACATGCGTGAGGGGGAAGAGAGGGAGGACAAAGAGGAGAGGGGGGAAAGGGAGGAGAGGGAGGAGAGAGGGAAGAAGGGGAAAGGAAAGGAAATTGACGAGAGGGAGGGGCAGGAGAAGCGGAGAGAAAGGAAGGGAAGATCTGTGGAGAGAGGTAAGAGAGGGCGTGTGGGTTGAGGAGGGATGGCAGTGATGGTGGTGGGAGTGATGGGCGGGATGAGAGTGGACGAGTGAGGAGGTTGAGTGATGGGGAGGGGGAACGATGGGGAATACAAGGCGAGGGAGGGGAGGGGAGGCGAAAGAGAGTAGATAGGGAACTCGAGGGGCAGAGATTGTGGAAGGGAGAAAAGGAGGTGGATTGGAGCCATGGGGAGGAAGGCAGGGACTCACACGGGTGGGAGAGGCGAGCAGGCGGGCAGGTAAGGCGAGCGGGTGTGCGTGGAGGTGAGGAGGCGAGGCGACCTGATGTGGGACGAGGGAGTGCAGGAGGGATGCGCAGGGACGAGAGAAGTACAGGTGCTGGCAAGGTCAGCGAGAGGGCAGTGTTGCACGTAGTCTCCAGGGAGGGGTGGAGGGATACGGACGGGAAGGGAAAGGAGTGCGGAAGTTGGAGTGCGAAGAACGAAAAAGCCAAGGAGAGGAGGATATGCAAGGATGGGGGAAACAATGGGGAGTGGGGAGGAGCAGTAGAGGTGCAGCAGGGAAAGGGTGAGAAGGCACGAGGTGGAAGGCATGGGGAGGGGAGGGGTGTGGAGGCAGAGAGGGAGAAGGAGCTGAGGGCGCTGCTGTTGCAGAGGATGCAGGGGGTAGGGGGTAGAGTGGCAGAGGGGCGAGATAAGAAGAGAGATGCCAGGGACGAAGGCAGGCAAGTGCAAGAGAGAGCGAAAGGCCAAGTGGAGGAGGCATTTTGTTTGAGGAGAAGAACAATTGCCAAAGGGGAGTTTGATCAGGGATCGTTAGCAGCGTCTTCCTGTTTTCTAGCCTCTGGGTGCGAAGGGAAGGCCGTGGATGATGACAGATGGGAGATGGAGACTTAACTCGCATGTAGTTGTATAGGAATTCCTTGCCGAGTGGAAGTGTTGGCGAGTGCCGATGCATCAGAAGGTACCGCACCATTCTCCTGCATGGAGATGTGCCCAACCAGAAAGTACTTGCAGGTTTACATCACATGTGCTGTAAGTCTGTTATACAACTACTACTGTACTGCCTGTGTCAATTGGTAAAATCGGGTTTTCGAGGAATCTGTTTGCACGGCATCGAGTCGAGGAATCTACAATCGATGAACCCAATAATGATCAATCGACGGGGCACAATGGTCCTAAACTTTTCGTCTCTCAATCTGCACCAATGAGCTGCTTCAGCGACAGCAGGCAAACAAAGCAGGCTGCCTCGACGTTACCGAAAGCACATCCACCGAGAGAATTACTGTAGAGCCTGGCCTCGAATTACTCGAGTGGCCACCAAATTTGGTGATAATTACTCGAGTGGCCACGCCAGGGGATTCCCGCTGGCTTTTTTTTCCCGGCGCATTACCCTACAAGGGCTCGTATCCCCGAGACCTCTGTATTGATAATTCCGCGATTTTCAATTTACGCGATGATTTAAAATGGATGCTTTCGCGTGATGATATATATTCGAAATTTATGTTCGTGACTCTATATGACCGCGCCTGATTAAACGCGCATATAGTCCACCAATCATGCGCGGTCATTAATGGTCGGGCACATTACATATTAATGCCCGATCATATATTTCCGCGATCATAAACTGCAATGCCCGGGCGTCAATGCGCGGGACATTTAATGACCGCGCATGATTGGTCAATTATATGCGCGGTGCTTTGTTTTGCAATGCGCGTCCAATCAGGCGCGGTCATATGGGGTCACGATCATAAATTTCGGATATTGAAGATCGCGCATTAATCATACAGAGGTTTCGGGGATACAAACCCTTGTAGGGTAATGCGCCAGGTAAGAAAAAACCAACGGGAATCCCCTGGCGTGGCCACTCGAGTAATTATCACCAAATTTGGTGGCCACTCGAGTAATTCAAGGCCACGCGAGTAAGAATGAACCACCAATCCAGGTTCTACAGTAATTCTCTCACATCCACCGCACAGCAGAGCCACGCAAGTCCAACACAGAGAAGGTTACAAGGGTCCATGTCGCAAAACACCCACACTGTAATCCACCACCTTCGCAAGCTTTTGTTTTTTTTGTTTTGTTTTTTTTTTTTTTACCCACCTTCACACAGAGAAGGTCATACGCGCTAGTGTCGCCCTTCTTTTGCCGCACAATCCCATGTCGGTCAAAGCAACCGTCATCGTCGTCCCCCAACCCCGCCCACAGCCGTGTGTTTTACTCGCTTTCCTTCCACTCAACTGCTACCCGTCAGCGGAACCCCCAACCCACCGCACGCCATTTCGTCTGTCCATCCATATACACACCACCCAAACCAACCAGTCTATTCCGCACTGGTGGTTGAGTCTGGTTGGTTGGAGCATTCATGCCACTGTCACTTCACTTCGCAGCAGCACAATTGCAAGCAATTTCATGTGAGGGCGAGTCCGAGGGAGGAGGGTAGATCGGCGTGGATGGTGGGGGTGGTGGTGCAGACCATGGGGCATGCTGTGCGCGTGAGTCGCATCAGCAGGGGGGGTGCAGAGGATGCTTCTCTTTCCTTGTGTTATAGATTTTAATTGATTCTTTTCCATTTAGTAGCCGCTTCTTTGCGTTTGTGCGAGAAGTCTGGCGTTTTGTTTGCGTCGCATTTCAAATCATTCATCACCCCCTGTGCTTGCAGTCGTCGCAGCAGCCGCATGCTGCCTAATCTCACCGGACCTTCCACAATTTCGTTCCTAGCAAAGTCGCGGCTTCGAATTTCCCCGCCATCAGATTTCAAATTCAACTAGACGTGCCGTACACGCAACCAATTTCCCTCAGTCGCGCGCCATCATGGGATCCATGGGTAGATTAATCTCCTCGGTCTCGGGCCCGTTCCAGCCGTTCGGCGGCGCCGTGGACATAATAGTGGTGCAGCAGCCGGACGGGTCGCTCAAGAGCTCGCCGTGGTACGTGCGGTTCGGCAACTTCCAGGGCGTGCTGAAGCGGCGCGAGCGCGTGGTGTCGATCATCGTGAACGAGGTGGAGGTGGATCTGCACATGTTCCTCGACACCAACGGCGAGGCCTTCTTCCTCCGCCACACCGGCACCGGCGCTGGTAGCGGCGACGAGGAGGAGGAGGAGGACGAGGAGGAAGAGGAAGAGGAGGAAGAGGAGGTTGAGGAAGACGATGAGGGGGAGGAAGAGAGTGCGGGGTCAGAAGGAGGCGAGGAGGAGGAGGAGATGGGGATGGAGGGGCAAGGACAGGGCGAGCCGCAGCAACGGAAGGGAGCAGCCACGGCAGACGCAGCAGGGGTGACAGGGAAGACAAAGGCGAAGGCGAGGGCGGGGCGGGGGGCGCGGAAGGGCAAGGGCGGGAGGTTGAAGGTGGACGTGCGGGAGATCGAGCTGCTGGAGGAGGAGGAGCTGGCCATGGCGCGCGCGGCGGGCGTGGAGCCGGAGCTGCTCAAGATGATGGCGGAGGCCAACCGCAAGATCCTCACCGACGCCAAGTCGCCCTACCGCGTCGTGCGCTCGGGGAAAAAGCCGCCCGGGTTTAAAGCTGGTGCTGCTGGTGCTGCTGGGAGTAACCGTGATGATAGCCCCGGCGGCAGTCGCGTGCTGTCGCACACGCTGTCGGAGCCCGAGCACCCGTCGTCCACAGGGTCGCTGCCTTCGCTGGGTCGCACGCGGGACAATTCGTCGCTGTCGCGGCAGCTGTTTCGAAGCCACTCGCAGTCCGACTTGACCGACGCAACGGAACCCGCTGCCTCTTCCGCAGCGCCACCCGGGGACGGCGAGGGGGCTGAAGTTACAGGGCTTGCAGGGAGCGAGCGAGGGGGCGATCGCGACGACGCGAGCGCGTCGCAGGTGTTATCGCAGCTGGCGGCGTCGCAGGTAGACCCGTCGCTCAACGTAACCCCGCCTCGGCCCCGTGCGGGCGCGTTACCTGTCGGTGCCGCGACCGCGCTTGCGTCGGTGGGCGGCGGGGTGTCGCCCGTTCCGGGGTCGCTAAGCCGTTCGCGATTGAAGCAGTCTCGTAGTGCGGGTAGCAGCAACGAGCTGGCTGATCCGATGCTGGAGGGAGGGAGAGCAGCGGCAGCGGGCAGCGCGTCGGACCTAGCGCTGGGAATCAACGCCACTGCAGCGCAGCTCGCGTCTGCTACGCAAGCAGCCGTTTCCTCGGGCGCGGGCAAGAGCGTACGCAGCTTGGGCGCAAGCGCGAGCGCAAGCGGAATGAGCGCGAGCGCGCCGTTCGTGGGCATGGTGGTGAGCAGCAGCGCGGGATCGCTCGCGGATCACTCCGACCTCGACCTCCCGCTCCCCCCGCCCGCACTTGCCCCCGCCTCCGCGCCCGCGTCCGTGTCCTCCTCCGCGCAAGACCTCGCGCTGGTCGTTGCGCGCGCGGGGAGCGCGGGGAGCGCGGGGAATGCGGGCTCAGGCGCTGGGGCTGGTCCGGCGCGGAAGGGCGCAAGGGAGAGTGGTGCGTTTGCGGGTGCGGGAGAGGAGGAGGAAGGGAGCGAGGGGAGGGATGAAGCGGATTTGGATCCGGTGCTGAGAGAGGGGAGGGAGAGAGAGAAGCGGTGGCGGCAGGTGGTGGTGCAGGCAGCGGAGGTGATTCAGGACGCGCCGTGGGCGTGCGAGGGCGAGTATGCGGACATGCAGAGGCGCAAGGAGGAGAGCGCGCGGCAGCAGGGCGCAGCGCCAGCGGGCAGGCGCAGCTGGAGCTGGTTCAGCTGGCGGTCAAGGCAGCAGAAGGCCGCTGCTGCCGCCGCCGCTGCTGCTGCTGCTGCCGGTGGCTCGGGAGCAGGGAACGGCGGGGCAGGTGGCGGGAAGGGCGAGGGTGGGGCGAGTGGGGATGCAAAGAGCGGCGAAGGAGAAGTGGGTGTGCGACAGAGAGGGGGGCGGTCTCGCGTGGTGGAGTTCGAAATTGGCGATGGGGAGGGCAGTGGGGATGCGGGAGGGAAGGGAGGGGAGGACAGGAGGCGGGATAGAGGTGAGGAGCGCGGTGGAGGGGACGGTGATAGGGAGAAGGGCGCAGGGACGAGGGCGAGTGGCCGGGAGCAAGGGGAAGGGGAGGAGGCGCATGAGGGCGATGGGCGGGGGAGCGCGGGGCAGGGCGGGGAGGCGGCTTCAGTAGAGCTGATAGAGGAGCTGTTCGACCGCAAGTGGGTGGAGGAGTCCCAGCTCAGGCGCCGCAAGAGCGGACAGGGGGGCGAGAACAGATCGTCCGGGGTCGGCGCCGGGGGGCAGGAGAGAAGGGCGCAGGGGGAGGAAGGAGGAGAGGTAGGGGAGGGGGATGAGGTGGACGGGGAGGAATGGGAAGGGGAGGAGGGGCGGAGGGTGTCGTTTGCGTCTGTGGAGCGGGGCGGCAGTGGGTCGTCGTCTTCGTCCTCCGCCAGCCTGCACAGCCTGTCGCCCGTGGAGCTGTCCCGAACCAGCAGCGCCGACGCTCATGCACACAGCGCCCTCGCTCATGCCATGCCTGCTCATGGCTCTGCTGCTGCTGATACTGCTGCAGGTGCAGGTGCAGCAGGGAGGGGTGTGGATGAAAGGGGAGGGCAGGCAGAGACGGCAGATGGAGAAGGGGGGGAGGTGGGCGGGGCGGGTAAGAGGGATTTGTTCAGGCGAGCGCTGTCGGAGAATCAGCGGTTCTACTCGTTCAAGAAGTCGGCCTCTGACTCGGGGGCCTCTGTGGAGGGATCTGGCGAGACGGAGGTGGCACAGGGGGGACGTGGTGAGGCAGGCAGAGTGGAGACAGAGCACACAAAGGGAGAGCAGGAGGCGGCGCCGGATAGGGAGGCGAAGCAGGATGCGGCGAGACAAGTAGAGGAGTGTGTACAAGGAGTTGAAGCAGAGCCGACACGAGCAGTGGAGCTGGCCAATGGCACGGTGCCACGTGTCTGTGTGGAACCTGATGATGTGGACGGCAGGGATGGTAGCGAGGGTGAGGCGGCAGGGGTTCCAGGAATGGTGGGCGAGGAGGACAGGGGCGAGGAGGGGCGGAGAGGAGCAGGGGGGGTGGATCTAGTAGCAGAGGACAGCAAGGTCGCTGCTGCTGCTGCCCATGCCGCCGCTGCTCTAGTTGCTGCTGCTCGTGCTCGTGATGCTGAGTTTCCCACTGCTTCTGTTCCTGCTTCTGCTGCTGCTGCTGCTGCCACTATTGCTGATATTCCCAAGGATGCCTTTGCTGATGGTGCCGAAACTGCTAGTGCTGACGTTGTTGCTGCTGCTGCAGCTGCCATTGATGCTACGGATGCTGTAGCAGCAGGCGCGGCTTCCCCTGCAGCAGGTGGTGGTGGACTGGAGGAGGCTGCACGGCCAACTGGGAGTGCAGGGGCCCAGGACAGCAGCGCTGAGGCCACAGCAGCACGCACAGCAGCAGGCACAACAGGTGGCAGTGAAGGAGTGATAGGTGTGGAATCCGTGGGCGAGGCTTTGGGAGAGGCAGGTGGACGCTCCTCACTGCCTCTGCCGGCCCCTGTCTCCCATGGTGACAGTACCGAGCGTGGCGGCCATGCCAGTGAGTGTGACAGTATCGATCGTGATGGTAAGGAGGGGCATGAGGGGCTTGGTGTGGGCGAGGAGTGTGAAGGGAAGGGGTTGGTGCAAGTGGAGGGGAGGAATGGGGAGTTGGAGGCAGGGGGTGAGGCTGAGGTGGAGGCGAGAGAGGAGGACGGTGAGGAGGAGGGCCCAGGGAGTGGAAAGGCAGGGGGAGGGGGCAAGAAGAAGAGGAGGAAAAGAAGAGGGAAGAAAGGAAAGGGGGAGAAGGAGGAGGAGAGCATGGGGGAGAGAGGTAGGGAAGAGGAGTGTGGGAAGGTAGGTGAGGCAGGTGAAGGTAGTGGTGGTGGTGGTGGTGGGGCAGAGAGCAGGGAGGGTGTGCGCAGTGCAGAGGCGGGTGAGGCGCACGAGAGAGGCGAGCACGGTGAGAATGATGGCGGTAGCTCACTGCGTGGTGTCATGATGGCAGGGGAGAAGGTAGAGAACGAGGGGGACGAGGGAGGAGATGGGGTAGAGAAGGGTGAGGGAGAAACGGAGGGGGAGGTAAAAAGGGAGGAAGAGGGAGAAGGGCAGAGAGCAGAGGAAAGGGAGAAGCTGGTGGGGGGGGGGATTGCAGTGGAGGGCGGTGATACAGGGAGCGGTGAGGTTGCGGGTGAGGGAGGAAGGAGGGAGGATGGAGTGGCAGGTGCGGCTGTGGATGCTAGTGCGGCAGGTAGCAGCGGGAGCTATGGCGTTGGTGAAGTGGCAAGCGAGGTGCAGAAGAGAGTGCAGGAGGTGCAGGAGGAGGGGGTACACGAGGGGTCTGGAGAGGGGGACAGTGGAGGGAGAGGGGAGCGTGACGGGGTTGTTGAGGCACGCAGAGAAGAGGGCGAGGTGGGCGCGGAGGAGAGCGGTGAGGGCGTGGTGGTGGTGGCGGGGGGTGACAGTGCAGGTGCATGCCACAGCAGTGTGGGGCCGGGCGCTGGTGCCGTGGGTGGTGCGGTGGTGCGCGGAGAGTGCGTGGATGAGGGTGGGAAGGAGGGGGCAAAGGAGGTGAATGCCAAGGAGGGTGGGGAGGAGGAGAGTACGAAGGTGGGGGGTGGGGAAGTGAGTGCGAAGGAGGAGGGTGCGAAGGAGGAGGGTGCGAAGGAGGAGGGTGCGAAGGAGGAGGGTGCGAATGAGGAGGGTGCGAATGAGGAGGGTGCGAAGGAGGAGGGTGGTGAGGAGGAGGGTGGTGAGGAGAGCACTCGTTCGACGGAGGGTGAGGAGTACGGGGAGGCGCATGTGAGTGATATGCAAGAGAAGGCACGTGAGGATGGAGTGGTGGTGGCCGCGAGAGAGAGGGTTGGCGCGGCAGCGGTGGGGAATGAGGGGGAAACAGAAGCAGCAAGCAGCACAACTGCTCATGTCGCACCAGAAGCAGCAGCAGCAGAAGCACAAGCAGTATCAGAAGCAACAGTAAGTACAGCAGCAGCAAGTAGCACGGAGAGTGGTGGCGGTGCTGCTGATGATTGTGCTGCTGCTGCTGCTGCTGTTGATGCTGTTGAGGGAGGTGAGGCAGGGACCGAAGAAGCCTCGAGAGAGGGAAGTCTGGAGTCAGCAGCTGTTCCTGAGAGTGAGCAAGCGCGGGGTGACGTGCCAACGTCACAGTGCCAGTCGCAAGTGCAGCAGCAGCAGGAGCAGGGCGAAGGGAGGGAGGAGGGAGGCATGGGGCAGGCAGAGGAGGGAGTGAAGGAGGAGGAGGCGGAAGGCAGTGAAGCAGAAGAACCATTGCCAACGTCTCATGCTCCTGCTGCCCACTCACCTTCCAGTCCTCCTGCCGCTGCTGCTGCTGCTGCCGCTTCTGCTCCTGCTTCCAATTCGACTGCTCTTGCTCTTGTCCTTGCACCACCAGCACCAGCACCAGCACCAGCACCAGCAGCAGCACCAGCACCAGCACCAGCATCAGCAGCAGCATCAGCAGCAGCATCAGCATCAGCAGCAGCATCAGCAGCAGCATCAGCAGCAGCATCAGCAGCAGCAGCAGCAGCAGCAGCAGCAGCAGCACCATCCGAACCGCCCACAGCCCTGGTACCCAGCGGCCCGCCCTCCGACGCCCTCCCACTCGCCCCCCCTGCCGCTGCTACACGCTCTCTAGACCCGTGTCTGGAGCTGGCGGTGTGCCGGCACCTGCTCTTCCCCAAGATGGGCAGCGATGCAGCGGCCACGGTGTTCAACGCCGCCAAGATCACGTGGCACCAGTTCCGCTGCAACGCCCCCTCCATCCTCTCCAACGACCGCCTCGTTGTGCGCGTGGGCGACAGGTACTACCCCTGGTCCGTCGCTGCCCCCAAGCTCGTCGGCATGCTCGCCTTCGGCCAGATGATGCCTCCCCTGCTAGTCGCCGATGGCGCCATTCCCGTGGAGAAACCGCCGCCCCCTCCCCCGCCGGCGCCTAAGCCCGGGCAGGAGCAGAAGCAGCTGGTGGTGAGGGGCGCGGAGGGGGGAGGCTGGCGGTTGTGGCCGTTTGGGGGCAGGCGGGGAGGGGCAGGGGGGGCGGTGGGAGCAGCGGGGATGGCGGCGAAGGTGATGAGTGGGGGGGCGGTGCAGGCGGACGTGATGCTGGCGGCGGCAGCAGCAGCCAACGTGGCGATCCACATGGAGAGGAGCAAGGCCGGAGGGGGCGGTGGCGCTGCTTCCGCCGCCGCAGCCGCCGCTGCCGTGCGGTTCGCACAGCCGGGGCTGTTGCGAGGGGGGCAGCAGGCGCAGCTGCTGCTGCGGGAGCGCGAGAACGAGTTCTACGAGCGCGCCACGCACGTGCGGTCGCTGACGCCCACGTCGCAGCAGCTCAAGGCGCTGGGGCTGAAAGAGGGCAAGAACCGCGTGCAGCTGACGTTCACCACTCGCATGTGGGGGCGGCAGGAGGTGCAGTGCTCGCTGTTCGTGTGGCGGTGGAACACACGCATCGTGATCAGCGACGTGGACGGCACCATCACCAAGTATGCCCTCGCTCACTGTGGGGGGAGGGCCAGGCGGGGGGATGTGGGGATGGGGCAGGGAGGGGGAAGGTGTGATGATGAACCATGAGTCACGTGCCTGCCCATGCCTGCCCATGTACTGTGCGTGCCAGCAAGCCATCTAGCCCATGCCTCACCCCATCCATCCCTCGCCCTTTCCTCCCGTCCCTCCTCACCCTTCTCTCCCCCGCCCCTGATCTCGTGTGCTCGGCATCCCCTCACCCCCCTGCGCATGGCATGGGAGCAGGTCGGACGTGTTGGGGCAGGTGATGCCGCTCATGGGAGCGGACTGGACGCAGATCGGCGTGGCCAGGCTCTTCACGGCCATCCGGGTGCGCCACACCCGCCATGCTTGCTACCGCGCCGTGCCTGCTGCCTTGTCATGCACATGCCTTGCTGCTACCACTCTTCCCGTGCTCCCTGTATCACCCATGCTGTAGCATGGCTCCCGGTGCTCTACCGTGCATCATGCCCCTCGCCCACATCGCCCACACACATGCCATGCACCCACATGTCCTATCGCACGGCCTCGCTCATGTTCATGCCACCTGCACCATTCACCTTCCTGCGTGCCTTCCCTGTCACTGCGTGCATGCCCCTCTCTGCTGCTGCCTCTGCCTCGTCAACGGAGTGCCCCACAGGCCAATGGCTACGAGCTGTTGTTTCTCAGCGCCAGGGCCATCCAGCAGGCTGCCCTCACTCGCTCCTTCCTCTTCTCCCTGCGCCAGGTACGCTCCCCTCCGCTCCCCCCCCCTCCCGTCCGCTCCTCTCGCCTCCCCTCTCCTTTGCTCCCCTGTCCTCTCCTTCCCTCCTCTGCCCTCTCCGTCCTTCCCCTGCCCTCCCTCCCCGCCTGTTCGCACATCAGGGAAACTGTTTTGCCCTGTATATACCTCTCCTGCTTCACCTTCCTCTACTCCCCCCTCTGCTCGCTGCTCTGCACTCCCCACATGCATCTCGCTGCTCTGCTTGCCGCCCTCTTCCTGCGCGCCGTTGTCCCTGCTTGGGCTAATTTTCCAGTGCCTGTGTGACCCCCCTATTCCCAAGGGCCTGCATCGCATTGCCGTCAATCCTCTTCCTTCTGCTCTGTCCATACCTGTGAACCGCTACCTGTGCTCCCATCGTCCTCCCTTGCCGCGCAGCTGTGTGTCCTTCATTCATTCACATGGTATCGTCACACTCGCTCCTCCTCACCTCCTTCCGTCTCCGCTGCCCTCTTTCCTTCTCGCTTTCCCTTACCCGCACTCCCCTCACTCCCCCCCTCACGCGTGCATGCGCGCATGGTGCGCGTGTGGGCCCCTGTGGCACGGCCCCCGCCACCAGGACGGGGAGTTCTCGCTGCCCGAGGGCCCCGTGGTCATCTCACCGGACGGGCTCTTCCCCTCGCTCTACCGTGAAGGTCAGCCCTGCGCCACCTTCCCACGTGCTTCTGCTTTGCTCCCTCAGATAACTCGCACCTTGCTCATTGCATGCATGCCACATGTCACACGTGCATATTCACAACTCAACCTTATTGGTGCATGTTCCAGTGTCGTCCTTGTCAATCATCCCTTCCATTTTCTGTGCATCTTCCTCCCCACCCAACAACCGTCCCGCCCCCCTCACCCGCCAGTCATTCGCAGGGCCCCTCATGAGTTCAAGATTGCATGCCTCTCGGTACGTTGCCTCTACCGCTTTTCCCATCACCTCTGCCTCCTTTCCCTCCCTCTCTCACCCCCTTCTCCTTCCTCCCCCAAGTCCCGACTGCTCCGTACCCGTAATTCACACTGGGTTCGGAACTCTCACCTGCTTCTCTCCTTGCCCACCCGTTCGCCCTTGCCTTCCTGTCACTCTGTGTTCCGCTGTGCCCCCACACAAGCTCAACGTACAACGCCTTTTCCCTCTCCTTCCACCCGCATTTTTTCCTCCCCTGCCCTTGCACCTCTTCTATTTACATTCCATACCCCTTTCTCCTCCCCCCACCACCCTTCACCCCCACCTACACCCCTCCCCTCCCCCCCTGCAGGACATCCGCGCACTGTTCCCGGCGGACATGAATCCGTTCTACGCGGGGTTTGGCAACCGGGACACGGACGCGGTGTCGTACGAGGCCATGGGCATTGCGCGCGGCAAGATCTTCACCATCAACCCCAAGGCAAGATCTTCACCATCAACCCCAAGGCAAGATCTTCACCATCAACCCCAAGGCAAGCCGTAGCCGCTCAACCCCACCCCACGTCATGGGGTACCATCTGGGGGGCATGGGGTACCATCTGGGGGGCATGGGGTACCATCTGGGGGGCATGGGGTGTGTGTGCTGAGTGTTCTCCACCAAAGCAGAGGGGGCAAGCATGGGGCGTGCGAAAGGGAATGGGCTGGGGCGGGTGTGGGGAGGAAAAGTGATGGGTGAGCATGGCGGCCCAAAAGAGGTGCTGTGTGTGTCGTGCCATCAGTAATTCCGTGCGAACTCCCCCGACCTATCACTCACGCCCTCTTCCAGCTCCTCTCCTCTGCCCCTACTCCGCCCCTCCCCTTCGCACTATCTCCTCCCCTTCACACTATCTCCTCCCCTTCGCACTATCTCCTCCCCTTCAAGTCCATGTGCTCTATAATCGCCCTCATTCCTCGCACCATCACCACCTCCTCTTCCTCCTCTTCCTCCTCCTCCTCCTCCTCCTCCTCCTCCTCCTCCTCCTCCTCCTCCTCCTCCTCATCCTCCTCCTCCTCCTCCTCCTCCTCCTCCTCCTCCTCCTCCTCCTCCTCATCCCCCTCCCCCTCCTCCTCGTCCCCCTCCCCTCCTCCTCGTCCCCCTCCCCCTCCTCGTCCCCCTCCCCCTCCTCGTCCCCCTCCCCTCCTCCTCGTCCCCCTCCCCCTCCTCGTCCCCCTCCCCCTCCGCGTCCCCCTCCCCCTCCCCGTCCCGCTCCCCCTCCCTGTCCCGCTCTTCCCCCCCCCTTAAAGCTTCACAATCCCCACATCTCCTCCACTCAATCAATCTTCTCATTCCGTTACCCACCGTCTTGCCCTCTCCCCCCATGCGTGCAATGACCCGCCATGCACCGGTGTGCGGCTGGCAGGGCGAGGTGACGGTGAACAAGGTGCTGAGCGCCAAGTCGTACGTGTCGCTGCACGACCTCGTGCACGACATCTTCCCCGCCTTCGCCCTCACCACGCCCCAAGGCCCTGAACCCGTGAGCCCACTGCACCTCTGCCTGTGCTGCCCGCCCTCCTCCCGCCTGCCTGCCCCACCGCCAGCACCACTGCTGCATGCACGGTTCAACCACGTGGGCATCGTTCGCTCCCGCCGCTCCGTGCTGCTCCTCTTCCCCCTCCTCCTGCTCCGCTGCACAACTTTGCCACTCTGCACTGAACCGTTGTTAGCCTTACCAGCGGTGTGCTCTGCTTTGCTTCTACTCATGCTGTGCTTCGCTATTGAATCTCTTCTCCTCCTCTCTGTATCCTTGTGCACTTGTGCATGTGTGTGGTTCTGCATGTGAATGTGCGTGTGCCGGTGCGTGCATGCATGGGGCCATGGCATCAGGAGGACTACAACGATTGGAACTATTGGAAGACGCCCATACCAGTCATCGACGAGGACCTGCCTGAACTCCTGTCAGTCACTCCTGCCTGCCTGCCCCATGCCACTCCGTCACACGCATGCATGCATGCACCGTCCCCCACTTGGCCCCCATCTTCCCCACCCCTTTCCTCCATGTCCGTGTGCCCTGCATACCTGCGTCCCACCATCCATCACTCCACCATCTCTCCACCACCTGCCCTGCCATCTCATTGTCCCATGCCTTCCCATCGATTGCGTCCATAAACAACTGCTCTCTGCCCTTTCCTCCCCTCCCCCCTCCCTCTTCCTGCCTCCCTGCCCGTCCCCTCTCCTCCCCCTTCCCCACCCTCCCAAACAACCCCCCCATGTGCCGTGCATGCAATCCACCCACTGCTACTGCCCTGTGGAGCAGCCCCAAGCGCGCTGCGTCGCGCCGCCGCTGATCGCCAGGGCTCCACGGTGCTGCACTGCACTCTCATTCTCCCACGCGTGCCGCCCACTGCAATGCGGACTTACCGTATTGCCGTGTGCATTGAGATTGCTAAACATGTCACGGAGGGATGGAATGACGCAGGGCACTTGTGTGGGAAACAGCTCTTGGGTTTTGCTGTGGGTTTAGGAATGGTGTTGTGGTGGTGTGGAATGGTGGGGACTAGGGATTAGTTTCCATGTGGGTCTACAACGGAGAGTTGCTGGCTTGAGTAGCGTTCAGAACAGATATTGGTGCTGACTCTGCTGTGCCTGTACATAATGTGATTTTCCTCGTAACGCCTGTTTTAGGGGCACTGGCTTCAAGAAAAACAATGTTGGTATTTATAAGCGAAGCTTTGTTTCCGAACGATTGGTTGCATCATGCGGCGTAGACCGGTTTACTATACCGAGAGAAACACCAGATTCGCGAGAGATAAGCTCATTCGCTATAGTCCTTCCAGAAGCCGCCATGCAACTGTGAATCCAGAAAGCGAGTCCACACAGCAGGTTTTCCTTCACCCTTTTTCCTCGTCCGGTTACTCCAAACCACCCACACCGCCACCGTGCCTCGCCGCTTCGCGAATCGCAGCACTAGGATCTATTCTACATCCCCTTTTAACGTTCCTATTCACCCAACCGTAGAGTTGACCATTTTCCCACTCCTCTCCTCACCGAATTTTCCGTTTTTTTCTTTTTTCCGCGACCGACGCTGTGGGCGGAAATTCCAATCCCGCAAGTCGCCGCACAAGACACTCTTGAATCTGCAGAGATTAGCGTTGCGAGCGAGCGGCAGGGCTTGAGACAGCGAGCGAGGGAGGAGGCGAGCGCGCGCGCGTGCGGGCTGCCATGGACGGCGTGCGCGAGGCCACCGCCAACCTGTCGCTCGCGGACGGTGCCGCGGGCGGCGCAGCCGCGCAGAGCGGAATCGGAAACGCAGGGGGGCGGCGCAACCGCATCCAGGTGTCGAGCTCGAAGCGGCCGCTCTATTTCTACGTGAACCTCGCTAAGGTGCCTCGATATAAGCTGCGCTCTTAACGCGACATGCTGGCGGAGTGAAACGGGAATCATGCCGGAAAGGAGAATGCGGGAGGGGCGTTGAGGGAGTGAGATAGGTTGGTGGTGAAAAGGAACGGGGAGAGGAGGGGAAGCTGGGAAAGAGTGTGGCGGGGGAGGGAGGGAGAGGGGAGCAGGGCGTAATTGGGTTGGGAGCGTGAGAGAGGAAAGGGCGGGATGGGTGGGAGGGCTGGATTGCAGTGGGCAGTGAGAGCGGTAGCAGTGGCGTGGGAGTAAGCAAGGCGGGAGGGGTGAGCGACGAGGAGGCGTGTGCGAGAGAGTGTGGAGTGACTGCCACCACCTGCCATGCCCAATGCATGCCGCCCAATGCATGCCGCCCAATGCATGCCGCACAATGCATGCCGAACGCATGCTGTCCTATCATGCTGCGTCTCACCCTTGCTCGTAACCCCAATCTGCCCTCCTTCCAGCTCGTCTCCTTCACTGTTCGCCTATCCTTACTTCCCTTTCCCCATTCTCCTCCCTTTCCACCGCCCCGTTTTGTCCTGCCCATACCATCCCACCTCACCATCTCATACCCCCACCCTGCCCTCTCTTCCCCCAACCCCCCCTGTCCATCTGCTTCCCCCTCCGCTCCCCTTGTCGCGCCCACAGCGGTTGCTGCAGCAGTTCGAGGAGGTGGAGCTGTCCGCGCTGGGCCTGTGTAAGGGGGGAGGGGGAGGGGGAGGGGGAGGGGGAGGGGGAGGGCGAGGGGGAGGGCGAGGGGAAGGGGGATTGGGAGGGGGAGGGGGAGGGGGAGGGGGAGGGCGAGGGGGAGGGCGAGGGGGAGGGGGAGGGCGAGGGGGAGGGGGAGGGGGAGGGCGAGGGGGAGGGCGAGGGGGAGGGGGATTGGGAGGGGGGGGGAGGGGGAGGGGGAGGGGGAGGGGGAGGGCGAGGGGGAGGGGGAGGGGGAGGGGGAGGGGGAGGGGGAGGGGAAGGGGGATTGGGAGGGGGAGGTGGAGGGGGAGGGGGAGGGGGAGGGGTAGGGCGAGGGGGAGGGGGAGGGAGAGGTGGGGGGAAGAGGGGGTGGGGAGAGGGGGGGGAGAGGTGGGGGGGGGGGGAGGAAGAGGGGGAGGGGGAGGAGGAGGGGCAAGGGGCAAGGGATGGAGGGGGAGGGGCGAGGGGTGCAGTGGGAGGGGGAGGGGCGTGTTGAGGGGAAGGAAGGGGGAGGGGGCGGAGGGGGGGAAAGTGGTGGGAGGGGAAGGAGGAGGGGGAGGTATAGGCGGGAACAGGAAAGGAAGGTGATGACGAGAGGGAAAGAAAAATGGTGAAGACATTAAGTGGGAAGATGGTGAACGGGTTGGGATAGAGGGGAGGAAAAGAGGGGAGGGAAGGGAGTAGGAAAAGAAAGCGGGGAGGGAGAAGGGGAGAGGGAGGAGGGAGAGGGGAAAATGGAGTCAGGAGGAGGGGGAGAGGGGAGGGAGAGAGGGGAGGACGGGAGGGGAGGAGGGGAGGGGCGTAAGTATGCAGAGGGGTGGCATGGGAAGGCGGGTGGACGTGCATGGGTGTGCACGGTGGCAGTGTGCGCCACTCACATGTTGTGTCTCACATGCATGCCACCTCTCGCTGTGCTGCGCCCCTCATGTGTGTGCACCGCACAGCCCCTCTGTGGGCCTCTTTCTTGCTCTCGTCGTGGTGTGTCATCTCATTCTGCTGCATTTCTTCCTGGTGTTTCCTGTGTGTTTCCTGTGTGTTTCCTGTGTGTTTCCTGGTCTTTCCTGTGTGTTTCTGTGTGGGGGAGGGAGAGTGGGAGCGGCTGTGCCTGCAATTGTGTGTGTGCGAATGGGGGCGTTTTTCTATCTGCTCGCATTCCCCTCTTTGTGTGTGCGTGTGTGAGTGTGAGCGTGAGCGTGCACATGAGCAGCGATCGCAACAGCGGTGACAGTGGCGGAGATACTGAAGAACAACGGCTTCGCCGTCGAGAAGAGTGAGTCCAATCACCACCCTTGCACCTCCAACCCCTCCTCCTCGCTCCACCTTTTCCCACAATCCCATTTCATGCAATCCCTTCTCATACCAACTCATTTCATCTCGTCCTGTCCCATCCAATTCCATCCCTCTCCATTGCCCTAGACATGAACTCTGCAGCCTCGTTCGTTTTCCCTCGCTCTCTTTCGCCCTTCCCCCCTTTTCTCACACGCACTCTCCCCTGCGCGCTGCACGTGCGCGCCCCCCATGGTGGCAGGGGTGGCGTGCAGCACCATGGACCTGCGGGCGGACGACAGGGGGGGGCGCGCTCCCTTCAAGCCCAAGGTCACCCGCATGCACGCCCGCTGGGGGGGTCACACCCATGGGACGGGGAGGGGAAAGAGGGGCACAGTGCTGGTTTGTGGGGGTTAGGAAAGGAGGAGTAAGGCAGGCATGGGTGGTGGGTGAAGTTGGCACATTCAGTCCAGCCAGACAGATGCTGCACTACCATGCTCACACCCATTGCTCATTCTTCTCACTGCCATGTCTGCATATCTTTCTCACGCCACTTTGCTGCTCACTGCTCACTTGCTCTACGGACGGGCACTTTTATCATCGTGCGTGTGACCCCACCCCCTAAACCGCTGCGTCACCCCCTCCCCTCTCCTTGTGCATAGTGAGTGCAGCTGGAGGTGGTGCTGGGCAAGTCAGAGCACTTAGAGTCGACTCAAAAGCGTCTCCCCCTCCCCCTCTGCGCGTGCCTGCTGTGAGCAGCTGGAGGTGGTGCTGGGCAAGTCAGAGCACTTTGAGCAGCTCATGGCTGCAGCAGCGGAGGAGGCGCTTGTTGCGCCGCCGGAGACCAGCTGACCCCGCCCCGCCATGCTGCATCGCTGCCATGCCATGCCATTCATTCACTCTGCTTTCATCAACCCGTGCTTTGGCATGTCCGGCAAGGGGCAATAGCAGTTGGGTGTGGGTGAAGCAGTTTTTCCTTGTACGGTAACCTTAGTTGTGCAGGTGGTTTGTTGTCGGTTGGGCTGAGAGTAGACTTTCTCTTATTCCTGAAGCACGCATAACACACGTATCATCCAAGTGCAGAAGTTCTTCTGTTCAGATACTGATTTGTGGTATTTTGTTTCGTCTGGAACCTTCCAACTCCTTTCCATCTTTGGCATGTTGAATCAGTTGAGTGTGCCCTATTTTATCAGTGTAACACGTAATGATTATCCCGAAATAAATCACTCGTTTTCCCAGTAACACTGATAGATCCACAGTACAGTAGACGGGGCAATGACAGGTAGAACTTCGGTACCAGTATGCTGATGTACAAAGGCTATAGCCTATAGGTCAGTATCCATATTCTCTCACCCTGCACCTGCAGAGCTGCTGTTCAAGTGCCATAGACGCTTGTCTGTCTCTGAAACCCATCTGTGGGGGGAGGTCCTGTTGAAGTGATGCCTGTGGCTGATGATGTCCTCCTCAAACCCACGCCCCCCCCCGCATGTGGTAGACCCAGCCAGGAACACGTGCGCATGCGCACACAGCAGCTTGTCCAATATGGCCACAATGCCTGCGTGCATGGAAGGCAATGCGTGGGAGAGCATTAAAAAGGAGGTTGAAAGGGAGGGCAGAGGGCAGATTAGGTGGCAAGAGATGAAGAGGAGGTGGTTGGGAGGGGGTGAGGGTTGGCACGGCACACAGGAGCAGCTAGTGGCAGTCGTGTGGAACATGTTGGCAGAAAGGAGAAGAGGCATGGTGGCAGGACGATGTTGCCACGGGGCTGCCACCCAGACTCCCAAGAGCCACGCACGCACGCAGGCAGCCAGAGAAGCAGCGTGCACTGACCGGGGTCATAGCGTTAATATCAGGCATGAGTTTGTCTACCATCAAGGTTACTTCTGAGTCGACTCAAAAGCCACCCAAGCAGCGCAGCGTGCACTGACCGGGGTCATAGCGGTTGATATGAGGCATGAGCTCGTCCACCATCACTGTGCCCGCCACCTGCTCCCTCAGCCACCGCAGCTTCTCCTGCGGGGCCGCCAGCACCCGCTCCTGCCCTTGGAACCGCCACGTGGTTTCTTTCCACGAGTCGGAGCGCACAAGGCTGCCCGCGTGGTCGTCAAACGGCACGTCGGCGGCGATGAACACGGCGGAGATGTTGTGGCGGCGCTTCATGGCGTTGATGAGGTCGCGCGCTGCCTCCATGCACCCCGACATGAGCTCCTCCAGCACGCCCGCCTCCACCTTGAACCCCCTCCTCACAAGCTTGTGTGCCTGCAGAGTGCGTGAGGTGAGAACGGGTTTGCGTTGCGGATTCATTTGACTCATGGGCTGTGTTCGAGGTCAGTTTGAGCCTGCTGAGAAGTCAACTTTCATCAACTAGCATGTCGCCATGATGGCTTGTGGCTTGTGGGCTGCCACCATCCAGCCGACCAAGTACACGGAGGTTTAAGGCGCTGAACTCACGAGGTGGAAGGCGATGAACTCACGAGGCGGAAGGCAATGAACTCACGAGGCGGAAGGCGATGAACTCACGAGGTGGAAGCGATGAACTCACGAGGTGGAAGGCGATGAACTCACGAGGTGGAAGGCGATGAACTCACGAGGTGGAAGGCGATGAACTCACGAGGCGGAAGGCAATGAACTCACGAGGCGGAAGGCGATGAACTCACGAGGTGGAAGACGATGAACTCACGAGGTGGAAGGCGATGAACTCACGAGGTGGAAGGCGATGAACTCATGAGGCGGAAGGCGATGAACTCACGAGGTGGAAGGCGATGAACTCACGAGGCGGAAGGCCATGAACTCACGAGGCGGAAGGCGATGAACTCACGAGGTGGAAGGCGATGAACTCACGAGGTGGAAGGCGATAAACTCACGAGGTGGAAGGCGATGAACTCACGAGGTGGAAGGCGATGAACTCACGAGGTGGAAGGCGATGAACTCACGAGGTGGAAGGCGATGAACTCACGAGGTGGAAAGCGATGAACTCACGAGGTGGAAGACGATGAACTCACGAGGTGGAAGGCGATGAACTCACGAGGTGGAAGGCGATAAACTCACGAGGTGGAAGGCGATGAACTCACGAGGTGGAAGGCGATGAACTCACGAGGTGGAAGGCGATGAACTCACGAGGTGGAAGGCAATGAACTGACGAGGTGGAAGGCGATGAACTCACGAGGTGGAAGACGATAAACTCACGAGGTGGAAGGCGATGAACTCACGAGGTGGAAGACGATGAACTCACGAGGTGGAAGGCGATGAACTCACGAGGTGGAAGGCGATGAACTCACGAAGTGGAAGGCGATGAACTCACGAGGTGGAAGGCGATGAACTCACGAGGTGGAAGGCGATGAACTCACGAGGCGGAAGGCGATGAACTCACGAGGTGGAAGACGATGAACTCACGAGGTGGAAGGCGATGAACTCACGAGGCGGAAGGCGATGAACTCACGAGGCGGAAGGCGATGAACTCACGAGGCGGAAGGCGATGAACTCACGAGGTGGAAGGCGATGAACTCACGAGGTGGAAGGCGATGAACTCACGAGGTGGAAGGCGATGAACTCACGAGGTGGAAGGCGATGAACTCACGAGGTGGAAGGCGATGAACTCACAAGGTGGAAGGCGATGAACTCACGAGGCGGAAGGCGATGAACTCACGAGGGGGAAGGCGATGAACTCACGAGGGGGAAGGCGATGAACTCACGAGGCGGAAGGCGATGAACTCACGAGGCGGAAGGCGATGAACTCACGAGGCGGAAGGCGATGAACTCACGAGGTGGAAGGCGATGAACTCACGAGGTGGAAGGCGATGAACTCACGAGGCGGAAGGCGATGAACTCACGAGGTGGAAGGCGATGAACTCACGAGGTGGAAAGCGATGAACTCACGAGGTGGAAGGCGATGAACTCACGAGGTGGAAGGCGATGAACTCACGAGGTGGAAGGCGATGAACTCACGAGGTGGAAAGCGATGAACTCACGAGGTGGAAGACGATGAACTCACGAGGTGGAAGGCGATGAACTCACGAGGTGGAAGACGATGAACTCACGAGGTGGAAGGCGATGAACTCACGAGGTGGAAGGCGATGAACTCACGAGGTGGAAGGCGATGAACTCACGAGGTGGAAGGCGATGAACTCACGAGGTGGAAGGCGATGAACTCACGAGGTGGAAGGCGATGAACTCACGAGGTGGAAGGCGATGAACTCACGAGGTGGAAGGCGATGAACTCACGAGGTGGAAGGCAATGAACTCACTAGGTGGAAGGCGATGAACTCACAAGGTGGAAGGCGATGAACTCACGAGGTGGAAGGCGATAAACTCACGAGGTGGAAGGCGATGAACTCGGATCGGTAGTGCACCGCAATGTACCGGGGAGGCAGGCGGGCCATGGCTCGATGTGCCATGGCGTGCCACTCCTTGCTGTACGGAAGCATCTGGAAGGAGATGGAATCTGTGGGAATGTTGAAGCTCACGCGCTCGAACGTGGTCTTCACCCACACGAGCACGTCCGTGTGCCGCCTGCAGCCGTGGAATGCATGGGAGATGCAGAATAATGCACACGGGAAGACACCGCTTGTGCATAGGAAGGATGCTGTGCTGGCCTACTTGCTAAGACCTCATGCCTGCTTTGTTAACATGCGTGCAATGGCAACCTGACAAATGCTGCAATGGTAAGCCCTGGGCTGCGAGAACAAGAAGGGGAGGGATGGATGTTATGAGTCATCTCTTTCTTCAGATCATTTTGGCATCGTGGGATATCGATGATCAAGCGGATCAGCATGGAGAGTGACGGCAGTCAGCATGGAGAGTGACGGCAGTCAGCATGGAGAGTGACGGCAGTCAGCATGGAGAGTGACGGCACGCACCACTTGTTCAACTTGCGGAGAATTGCAGAGCTGTTGGCAGGCATGATGACGTCAAGAGTGTTGCGTTTGGAGGGCGCGTGCCCCATGCCATACACCATGAGCTCGCTCAGCATGTCCACCAGACACCCTGCCCACCACGCAGCACGACACACAGCCTCTGAGACATTTGCACAGCTAATTCTGCATGGAAACGGGAAGGATGGGGAGTTAGGAAAGTGGAGAAGAGGAGGAAGCAGCATGTGATTCCAGAGAGTGCATGTGTTGCTTGATGGGGCACGATAGGAAGGAATGCGATGGAACTAACAGGGGTGGCATGGATGCGTTGCGGTGGGATTGGCTGTGACGTCACGTGATAGGATGGGATGTAATGTGATGTGCTGGTATGGAATGAAACAGTTGGTGAATGAGAAGGAGTAAGAATGGAACGGGATGGAAGAATGGAACGGGATGGCATGAGATGGGCTGGGATGGGCGAATGGGGATTTTCGGAAACTTTTAGTTGGTGCTACTTGCTTTGAGTGAAGGGCATGCGCCATGTGAGGTGCGTCTGCACATGCACGAAGGCCACGGAGGGGCTGGCGCCGCGTGCAGCAGCAGCAGCAGCAGCGAAGGGCGGGGTGAGAGTGGCTCTAGCGAGGAGCAGGAAGAGGTCGGGCGAGATCCAGTGCGTGTCGATGCTAGCGAGGTCGAAGTAGTCGCACAGCGGCAGGGCCCCGCCCAGTGAGAGGCGGCTGCGACTGCCCTGTTGTGGTGTGGCGTGGGGCACAGAGGAGCGCGTGGAGTGGGAGAGAGGGGGAGAGAGGGGGAGAGGGAGGAACGGGAGAGGGGGGAGAGGGAGAGAGGGCGAGAGAGGGAGAGGGGGAGAAGGGGAGAGGGGAGAGGAGGGGAGGAAGAGGACGGGAGAGGTGAGAGAGGGAATGGGGCGGAGAGGGAATGACAGGAAGTGGGGTTTCAAAGGACAGCAAAGAGGGGGGGTTTCCCGCGGAGAGGAAAGGGGAAACTTAAGCAGAATATGCGGGAGACAGCAGAGAGTGTGCAGAGAGGTGTGCAGAGTGGTGCACTGGGAAGCACAAGGAGTGGCACCTTGGGCAGCACGAGCGTGCGGTTGGTGGCTTGGGCGAAGCGTGCGGCCTCCACGAGGTGAGAGCGCGTGTTGGAGAGCTGCTCGTGCGAGTACGCGAACACCAGGAACCTGCGCCTGCTCGTGGCCTGCGGGGGATGGATTGGATTGGATTGGATTGGATTGGATTGGATTGACGCATGTGCAACATGGGGCTCGAGGGGTTTAGGATTCTCAATAGCGCTTGAGTGCACTGGCGGATTGAGGGGGATGGAATGGAGAGAGTGGGAAATGGAGCGGGCTGGAGGGACGGGGGAGGGAGGGGAGGGAGTGGGAGGTGAAGAGGCAAAGTGAGGAAACTTGCAATGGAAGATTGACGGAAGACAGCAGGGTGAAGGGAGAGGGGGGAAATAGGGAAGGATAGTGAAGAAAGACGGAGGAAAGGAGGACAGCTTAAGATATGTCAATAGTGCTTGTGTGCCCTGGTGCATGAGGGACCTTGGAGCGGAGCGCGTGCGAAATGAGGCAGGGGAAGGGGGAGGCGAAGGGAGGAAGCGAGAGGTGCTGGTAAGAGTGGGCAAGGAGGGGAAGCTTGCGTGTTCAGATGGACTGGGGGCAGAGAAAGCAGAGGCGCGCACGAGGGGAGGAGGGGCGGGGGAGGAGGGTAGGGAAGGAGAAGGAGAAGGGGGGCACCATGTCATCAGAGAAGGGCATGTGCGGCACAGGCCAGCACGCCTCACGCCACCACCCGCACTTTGCTGCTGCTGCTCCCTCTCCTCCTGCTTCTCCTGCTCGTGCTCCTGCTTCTGCTCCTGCCCCTGGCCCAGTTCCTGCTTCTCCTCCTGCTTCTTCTGCTGCCACTGCTGCTGTCCCGCCCTCGCCACGCGCATTCTCCTTGTCGCTGCATTCCCCGCTCAGCCGGGACTCTATCGCGCGCACCCCGCGACACACGGCCTCCACGCCCGCTTCTATCCGCGCCAGCGACGTCTGGTTGCGCCTCACCACCTTCGCCACGTACGAACTCGCCGCAGCTCGCGCCATCGCCGCCCGCCGCCAGCCCGCAGAGCACAGCAGCGCGGCGGATTCTGCTGGGGCAGCAACGACAGGCACAGCAGCAGGAGCAGCACCGCCACCAACTGCAGCAGCGGCAACGGCAGCAGTGCTGGGGCTGACAGAGTCAACAGGAGCGCCCAGAGTTTCGTCATTGGTTCTGGTGGCGCCATTTGCGCCGGGAGCGGTACTATTGGTGCTATCGGCCGCAGCACGGCTATCCGCGGGGCTGTGAGCATCCCGTGCGAGCTCGCCGTGGGGCCTCGGCGGCAACGGCGCCTCCGCCTGGCAGTCCGCCTCCGCCTCTCTCCGCCTCGCCTCCGCTGCAACCCGCTGCAGCGCGTTCCGCAGCTCCGCTCTGCACGCGGCGGCGCGCGCCGCGCCGCGCCCCTGCGGCGCAGACAGCGCGGCCGGCCCGTCGCCGGGGCCGTTTGGGTAGGAGGGGTCGGGGAAGCCTCTCATGGCCGGCACGCAGTCGGCGCTCATCGCGAGCGGCGTGGGATCGCCGCGCGGTTGACTGGGAGGAGCGTGAGGCGCGGAAAGGCCGCTGCCGGTAGGGGAAGCACAACTGCGAGAAGTGTTGGCGAGGGGCTGGGTTACTAGCAGAGAGACGGGAGGGGCGCGAGCGGTGCGATGATCGCGCCAAAGTAGGATGCGAAAGGTGTAAGGTGCGTCGGCCGATAATGACGGTGCTATGAGTTGATGGTAGCATACTCGAGTGAGGCATGAGAGCACGACCAGTAGCGCGAACGAGCGCACTACTCGACCTACGATGGACCTACTACTGGTAGTGAGTCCTCTCGCCCGAGACAATATGAAAGCCATGAGGTCAACCCGCCTCGATATCCGCAGCACTCGCATTACTCATACTAGAGTAGGTCATAGTAAGTCAGCAACACCAGGTCATTCACCACTACTAGCATTCCTGCAGTCGTACAAGCGGATTCTCGCGTCTCGCGTGGCCAGCTGGGAACACTCACTCGTTGCGCGTCTAGTGATCTGCTGCTGCTGGGATCTGTGATTCAAAAAGATCCATGATCCCCGCAGCAGATCCGTGCTTCAGTAATGTGCAACTACATACTGATCGTAAACCTGGTACTAGTGCCATTGAGTGATCTAGCGATAATTGCACTTTCTAAGCAAACAATACAAAGAGGGAAGGCATGAGCGAATTGTAGGCATTTCCACAACCGTAATGCGCTCGCAAAAGGGTGTCCCACGGGCCTGATGTTGGAAATGTTAAAGCTGTAAAATCATATATATTTTAGTTAGACATTCTAGGTTATACCGTAATCCCCCGGATAGAAGACCGTAGGGTCTTATGCTAAATCCCTTGAAAAAATGAGGGGGGTCTTAACAAAGGAAAAAAAAATATAACACCCGGGTCTTTTCATATGGCATTATTTTTTAGTGTTTTCAACAACCAATGTAAAACTGAAGTTGTGGGTTTGCTTTTGGTGATCGCTTGACCAGTCAAAACGACTTCGCCCATCACAGTCAAATTCGCCACTCTGACGCAGCAATTTCGCCCCCTGACACAGCAATTTCGCCCCCTGACACAGCAATTTCGCCCCCTGACACAGCGATTTGGCCACCTGACGCAGCAAACTGGCCCCCTGACACAGCAAATCAACCCCCTGACACGGGAATTCGCCCCCCGAAAGCCGAATTCGCACTATAGAATGCCTCAGTTTTCAATGAAACGAATGAAAAGTACATGGAAAACCCCCCTGTAGGGTAAAGGGGGGGTCTTATATTGATCACCCCCCAAAGGGGGGGTATAACGAAATCGAAGTTTAATAAAGTACCCCCCCCCGTATTAGGTACCCGGGGGTGTTGTATTTTGGGGGGGTCTTCTATCCGGGGGAATACGGTAGTGAGGTTTTTAGTATAGGGTACATCAATTCTCTGGACATTCCTACTTGTACCCTGCCCCTTACTAGTCACACCACTCCCGCTTCAATTCTGAGATGGAATCGAGCTAGTTAGTTCATGGGAACCTAGAACCTAACTCTCAGCTCTCACTAGCTCCATTTGTCCCGACGCCAGGGCCTCAGATTCGTTTTAGGGTACCCTGAGCACTCAGGGTCCCTTGGAGGTGTAACACTGATCTTCAGTGTTGCCTGCTTAGAAACACTGATTTTTCAGGGTTAGTAAAAAAAAAACACTGATCACACAGGGTGCCTTTTCAAAAAACACTGATAGAATAATTAAAGAAGGGGTGCAGGCCCGGTCGTGATGTGGAGAGCATGAATGAACGAGACCCCCTGCGGCATGGGTCGGCTGGTCAAACCGCACAACCACGCCCTTGCGTGGTGAATCTGATCTGATGCCACCATTCACCACTGGTCCACTCTGGATTTGTGCGCAGCGAGGCCAAGAATGACAAGTGTTGGCAGAAGTCAGAGTCAACGAAGCATTGAAACACCTGGAACAGCCAATCAAATAGCGCCTTTGCGCAAATACTGCCCAAAATTGAGCCGCAGGGTGGCGTCGATCCTCGTTGGGTACACCCTCTTTCTCACCTCTCTCACCGGCGGAAGCACTGGCTACAGTGTTTGGACGTAGCGGGCTGGTGAGATAAGTCGGTTGCGGGCAAAGTCGCACGAGGGTTTGAAACACGCCTTGGGCCGTTAAAAAGCATTAACGTTGAATAACCGTCCCGACCGCTTTGAAAACAACAGTACCATTGTAGAACGTAGAAAACCTTGACTAAACGCCCTGGGTCAAATTGTCACTGTAACGCATGTGATAGGACCTTCTTTGGTCCGGTGTGGCTACACTAAGCGTCTCTGTCAGTATAACATATGCCAGTCTATCGAGAAAAAGGGTGTACATGAATGATGACGGCGCGCCAATATGCGAGAAACACGGAGTTTCGGTTTCAGGGTCAACCCCGATACAACACTGACTCGTCAGTGTCTGCAAACACAAAACACTGAAAATTCAGTGTTCTACAAAATAAAACACTGATCCATCAGGGTCGCTAAAAAAAAAAAGGCTGATCCATCAGGGTCGCAATAAAAAACAAGGGTCAAACTTCAGGAATTCAGGGTAAAATTCCTGACATCTGAGGCCCTGCCCGACGCCCTTAGCACGAATGCGTTTTCCCCCCTCCCTGCCATTTGGCATGGGGAAGGGCCCCTTCAAAAATTCCAGCTCCCAAAAACGTCCCAAAAGTATCCCGCGGGAGACTTCTGGGACACTTTTCACCACCATCCCTGAAGAGTCTTTCGGAAACAACTAGGGTACAGTTCAAAGAGTCCCAAAACTGTCCTGCAAGACTCTTTGGCAGGGTCCCGAAAGTATTTTGGAGGGCAGATTTCGGACATTTCTGGGACATTTGTGTCCAATGACAGGCCAGTCACACACGTGTGAGGTTAAGATTATGGTGCACGTACAGTTTGGCTTTAAGTCATATGTACAATTTGCTTGCTACAGGTTTTGTTTGCTGCAAATTATATACAACAGTGATGTATACAGATTGTAGGGCAGTCACCATTATAAATAAAGACATTGACATCCCAAATCTGGATAGGTCCCAGTAAATAACGGCAGCTTGATTAACAAACTGTACAGTGTGGCACCTTCAATACATATACAACAAATCCTGCATTTGACACTTCAAACGATTAGCCACAGGAACACGGAAAATGACAAATAATGTTATTTCGTTAAAAAACAGGACAACGAATGTACTAACAGCATAGCTGGTTACGGCATTTCAATCCTGCATCATAAAAAAAGATTTGTCATACAGTTTAAGCGCTTAGCTGCAACTGCAGACACCAACATAAACGAAAGCATTAAAGGTTTTCTGGTTAGTTAAGATATAAATGTAACGGTCCAGGGGTCGCCTTGACAAGTTTAGTGACAAGAAAGCACAGGGGAGTAAAATCAAAACAAAATGTTGACGAAAATGTTGACATGCCTTTCATCAATCTGACCACCACGTCACAGGACCTCACCTCGTCGTCGCCCCGTACAAACTCCCTGAAATCCGCGCTGCTTCCGTCGCCAGTGGAGCCACGATCGCCCGTAGGCAGCATCATCCGCCCACGGTAGACCTTTGCAACCCGAACCAGTCGCGCGGCATGCAGCTCCGCGAAGCTGGGTGGGGTGAAGGTGAAACGGCGGCGCCTGCGCGGGGCGATGGGGGAACGGAGGAGCGGGTAGCGAGAATAGTAGATGTTATTAACGGGGTAGCACAGGCCTAATATCCATTCTAAGCAACGGGCAAGATCGAGGGCAAATAGAATGATAATAACAAGATATTAGACAATGGCAGATACAAAGGTGGTACACGTATAAACTGAAATTCGGAGCGGTGATCAGGTTAAGTTTGAAATAGTGTAGTCGTTGGCACAGGTGGTTGAGGCATTTGGGTTGTGTGGTGAGGGGTGACAGCTGTTCCGTGATGACGTGTGCTATTTCAGCTCAAGTGGCAGGTAAAAAAAAAGGTGTGTATGACAGATGGCGAGACAGTTATCTGCCTCTCAGGTGACGCTGAGTTGGCGTTCATCTGTGAGGCAGACAAATTTCGCCTCCCCTCCCATTTCGACCGATTGTTTGTGAGGGGCGTGGGGGAAGGGGAGGACTTACGAAATTGGCGACGATTTTGCCTCCCCTTCCCCCTCGATCGATTGTTTATGAGGGGGGGGGGGGGAGGACTTACGAAATTGGCGAGAATTTCGCCTCCCCTCCCCCTCGACCAATTGTTTGTTGAGGGGGGGGGGTGAAGGGGGCGCATCTGACTTACGAAATTGGCGAGAATTTCAAAACAGTTACCTGTAGTTCGCAGTGCACCTGCTAAAAGCGGATTCGATAACAGCCATCGACGTTAAGGTTTGTTTATGGACTATAAATCATTGCATTCTATTCTGACTGTAATGAAAATGTTGAAGAGTACTACAGCATTTATAGCGCTTGAAATGAATGCAAACCCATTAAACTAAGCTCATATTTTATCAGATGCATCAACAAAATCTCAC